CAGCACAGTCAGTGACCTTCTCAGAGGGGGATGGGGATGGAGCAGGATTAGGAGAGAGGTGTCTTGGGCATGGAGGGAAGGGCAGATGGCACTGGGGTGATGCCTGAGACAGGAGGTGAAGGGGTGAGGGAATGAGCCTTGTGGACACGGGGAATGTTTTGCCAAGGCAGAGACTTCAGTTGGAAAACCACTTTGTATTAGTCCATTTTCATCCTGCTGATAGACATACCCGAGACTGGGAAGAAAAAGAGGTTTAATTGGACTTACAGTTCCACATGGCTGGGGAAGCCTCAAAACCATGGTGGTGGAAGGAGAAAATGAAGAAGCAAAAGTGGAAACCCCTGATAAACCCATCAGATCTCATGAGACTTATTCACTATCACTAGAACAACACAGGAAAGACCAGCCTCCATGATTCAGTTACCTCCCCGTGGGTCCCTCCCACAACATGTGGGAATTCTGGGAGATACAGTTCAAGTTGAGATGTGGGTGGGAACACAGCTAAACCATATCACACTTTTAATGTCACTGTGTTCCTGGTGAGACGTGACAGTGTTAATGAGGAAGACATCAAGGCACTGGGGCTACAGATTGCTGGAATTGCACGCATATCATGAATTGCTCGGACCACCCAGCCCAATTTCTGAAGGAGCCCATCTTCCTCAGATGCTAGGGACCCAGAGCATTCTCTTTGGGACCTCCTTAGAGACCGGAGGGGTCCAGCCCCTCTCATTGACACTGAGGGGCAGCTGCTCCAGCCAGTCAGATCCATTTGGTTTCAGGTCTGTGGCCCCTCCCGCACCAACCCCAGCGTGATGATCGATGACCTCCTAACCCCATGCTCACCAGGGGACCCAGGAGCCATGGAGATGACTTGGATGGATGTCCCTGGGGACAAACTCTTAGAGCCTGTGGTTTGCATGGTAAGTGACTGATGGAGGAGGGAAGGCGGCTGCAGAGAGCCCAGAAAATTGGGGGCTTGGGTCCGGAATGAAAACAGCCTTCTCCAGGCCGGGTGTGGTGGCTCGTGCCTGTAATACCAGCACTTTGGGAGGCCAAGGTGGGCGGATCACCTTGGGAGTTTTGAGATCAGCCTGGCCAATATGGAGAAACCCCATGTCTCTACTAAAAATACAAAAATTAGCCAAGCGTGCTGGTATGCACTTGTAGTCCCAGCTATTCGGGAGGCTGAGGCGGAAGAATCACTTGAAGTCGGGAGGCAGAGGTTGCCGAGATTGCACTGCTGCACTCCAGCCTGGGTGACAGATCGAGACTCTGTCTCAAAAATAAAAGCCTCCTCCTTCTATGTCCTGGGCTGTTGAGAATGGCCTTTGTGGCTCAGGGAAGCTGGCGTGCCAGCCGTTACACTCAGTGGGGGCCCAGGATGCTGGTGGCAGCATTAGCATTTTGTACATATAAAGGCTGGGTGCAGTGGTGCAATGATGGTTCACTGCAGCCTCGACCTCACCAGCTCACACAATCTTCTCACCTCAGCCTCCTGAGTAGCAGGAACAGGCACACACCACCATGCCCAGCTAATTTTTCCTTTTTTTTTTTGTTTTGTTTTTTAGAAGCAGGGCCTCGCTGTGTTGCCCAGGCCAGTCTCAAACTGCTGGGCTTAAGTGATCCTCAACTTGGCCTCCCAAAGTGCTGGATTACAAGCATGAGCCACCACACCTAGCCTGCATTTTATATTCTTTAGCAAGTCAAGTCAGGTCCAGATAATATGACATCAATCCATGGGTGTTGCTTGTGTGGTGCAGTGAGGCAGTGAATGTGTCAGGACGGCTTACTGTGCTGCAGCTGCAAAGGCAGCCCCTCACCCGTGTAACCTGGCCCTCTCATTATGACCTGTGCCGTCCTGGCAAGTGTCTGCCCTTGTGGCTGGTGTAGGGGGTGTGCAGTTAAGAAAGTTAAGAAAGCTCCTGGGGGTGCAGTGGCTCATGCCTGTAATCCCAGCACTCTGGGAGGCCAAGGCAGGCAGATCACCTGAGGTCAGGAGTTCAGCCTGACCAACATAGTGAAACCCCATCTCTACTAAAAATACAAAAATCAGCCATGTGTGGTAGCACGCACCTGTAGCCCAGCTACTCGGGAGGCTGAGGCAGGAGAATCGCTTGAACCCAGGAGGTGGAGGTTACAGCGAGCCAAGATTGTGCCACTGCACTCCAGCCTGGTCAACAGTGAGACTCCGTTTCCAAAATAAAGTTCCTAAGGGGAGTTATAAATGATGGAGCTTAGATTCTCAGACCAGGAGGAGGCCCATCTGAGCTGCCTCGAGAGGGAACAGGGTCCCTGCCATAGGCAGATTCAAGCAGGTCTCTGGGGTGGCCTTGAAGGCAAGCCTCTTTTCCCACCCTCGACTGCGCCTGTTGCGTGCTGAGGGGAGGTTGGGGACCTGGAGCCTGGCTCCTGCTCAATCACATGCTCTTGCCTTCACAGTCGGACATGCTGCGGTCTCTGGCCACCACCCGGCCCACGGTGAATGCAGACGACCTCCTGAAAGTGAAGAAATTCTCAGAGGACTTTGGGCAGGAGAGTTAAAAGCTGCTTCACTTGGGCGATGGTGAAGGTGGGAGGTTGATGGGGGCAAATGCAGGCACTCTGTGTGTCAGCAGCCAGACAGGGCTCAAGGGCTTGTCCCAAAGTCACTACAGAGCCTCCTCTGCTGTCTGGCCGCCTGCCAGGGAGCCAGAAGGAAGAGCCTTGCAGCCACAGACACTCCACCGCCCCGGGGCACATGGTGGACACTGGCTCTTCCTACTTCCTCCTCTCCTGGATGCTCACCAGCTCCTCCTGCCCCCCCCTTTTTTTTCCATCTTTTGTTCCCCTAAATTAATGCTGCTTGGACTTTCCTCGTTTATAAATAAAGATAAAATCATCTGGAAGTGTCAAGGAGTGGGGGGCGGGGGGAGCAGCCATGTTGCGAGGTCACCCAGACCTCCAGACAGTTGGCTAGCTCCACTGCCCATTCCTTTTATGCCCAAGTTTTGCTCCTTGAGAGCACATTGGCTGATGCCCCTGCATCCCTAGCCCAAGCTCTGCCTCAAAGACTGAGTGACATAAGCCATTCCCACCCTCCTAGGTTCACATCCAGGGCTGTGTCTTCCTTGGGGGAGGAGATGGTGTCGTTTAGATCAGGGGAAGGCAGTCAGGCGGGTGTTCACTGCCTTTTTTTCCTGAGTGTAGAACACTGAACCCAGCCACTGCCCCTGGGTCCCTGTCCTGGAAATGGTCTAATAAATCCTTTTCCCTTCTTGAGCCACCCGAATGATCTCATCTTTGACTCACGCCTGGGACTCTGAAGGACCACCCTTACCTCCAATTAAAAGACCCTCTGGTTTTCTCTCTGCTCTCTCTTCTAAAGCAGAGCAGGAAACAGGAACGCTGCAGTTCTCAGGCCTGTTCTCCAGTCAGTTGTGCAAGGCCGCCTCCCCTTAAGGCCTCAGAAGCTTGGCTGGGGGTGTTTGGGATCCAGACAGTTCTCGCCGTTGTTCGGCCTGCAGATCAGAGACTGCAAAGTGAGAGCCCTGCGTGCCAGACCCGTCCTACAGCTGTGTTTGGTCTGCCGCTAACATTTAAAAGTTGAAAGTTGACATAAAAATTCAGTATTCTGACTTCTAGAAGATTAAATTAGGCTATGTTGGGCCTGTGTCCTCATGGGGCAGCCTGTCTGCGGCCGCTGAGTAGAGGCTGCTCTGTGCAGAAAGGGGCCCCATCCCCACTCATCTGTGTTGCCTGCCCAGATAGCCCCTGTGGCCATTTCAGTTTGTGACCCCCAACAGACACGAAGGGCCCAGAGCTGGCAGCCCTGGACATGGGTCTGGCAGGCAGTGAAGCTGCAGAGGCTGTCCCATGTTTACCCCATGCATATGAACAGACCTAAGTCAAAGCACATTCACACAGAAAGACCTGGCCTAGTAAATGAAGCTTGTAGCCTGGAAAAGGGCTTTGTTCCAAGCCTCCCTCGCCAAAACCCAGTACTTCTCTACCTTTCAAACCTGGCTGGGCCAGAACTGATTACATGGCCAGCTCTTGGCTCACACTGGCCTTGCATTGGGCCGTTTCTTTGCTCTGGTTCAAAGCCTCTGCAGAAGTGAGCTAACTTTGGACTAGTAGCTCCAAGACTTGGTTCCAGTGCTGACGGGTTACCCCTTAACCACAGCAGCCAGGATCTTTGTGGCTTGGGGTACCCCCTCAAGCACAGCAGCTGGGATCTTCGTGGCTTGGGGGCACTCGTTTAAGTTCTTGGTTATGTACCCCAAGCCCCCAGGAAATGAACTGTGTCTACAGAGCTTCACTTTAGTGAGCTTACAAGTTTTTAAATTTTTAACTTCTAGTTACATTTACTTGAATCAGAACTTTGTTTCCTCATTCCTACTGCTTAAACACCTTAACAAATACTAGGGGTTAAGAAAGGTTAGCGCGGCTGTGGTCCACCCCTGTGCTCTAGTTAGAGCGTGAAGACACCTGTCTTTCCACTTCTCTCTCTCCATGACCAGCAACAAGAACCACTGGTGCCGAACCTTGGACGGTGGCCTCAGACTCTGGCTGCCAGCACACAACCTGCCATCATCGATGTTAAACATGCTGACATGTGCAGAGAAGCCTCCTCCCTGAAATGCTCTGAAATTCACTTCTCTACCTGGGGATTCTGTTCTAAACCTTCTGCCTACACTGGCTTTCACTGTGGAAGGTGATTTTTAAAACTTTGATTAGCTCATAATATTGACGTGTACATGTGTTTTTTGTGAGTGCTTCCTGCTTGAAGTGGAAGACATTTTACTGGAAATGCAATAAAATTTGCATTTTATTGCTACCAATGCCCACCACAAAGGCGTTAACCTCAGACTATAAGCATCAAAATGTCACCATAGCCCCCGCAAGAGCTTCTGAACATTGTCCAAATGAAAGCAGGCTCACTGAATTCTAATTTTCCTAAAGACCCATGTTTTCAGTAGCAATGAGCTTTCTACCAATCTCCCCATTGGCCGTCTCTCTGACCTTGCACCAGTACCAAGGTTGGGATTCCCTTTTTTTTTTGAGACAGAGTCTTTGTCACCAGGCTGGAGTACAGTGGCGAGATCTCAGCCCACTGCAACCTCTGCCTCACAGGTTCAAGTGATTCTCCTGCCTCAGCCTCCCAAGTAGCTGGAATTACAGGCGCCCACCACCACGCCCAGCTAGTTTCTGTATTTTTAGTAAAAACAGGGTTTCGCCATGTTGGTCAGGCTGGTCTTGAACTCCTGACCTCAAGTGATCTGCCCGCCTTGGCCTCCCAAAGTACTGGGATTACCGGCACGAGCCACCAAGCCTGGCCGGGATTCCTTTTCAAAGTCAGGCTGCACCTAGAGCCAGTTTGCTTCTGCTTGGCCTCATGGGGCCTCAAAGAAAGCCACAGGGGAGGACGGGTCTTTCCTGGGTTCATTTAACTGCCATTTACAACACATTTTCTCTAAAAAGCTTACTGGACTTCCTATTACTTGTATAGTTTGATTTTGAGGACTCTGTTTAGCAAGAATACCTACTTTACAAAACTCAGCATAAAAATGAGGTGAAACAATTTAACTAAAACTGGAGTTTGGCTGGGTACTATGGCTCACAACTGTGATCCCACACTTTGGGAGGCCAAGGCAGAAGGATTGCCTGAGACCAGGAATTTGAGACCAGCCTGGGCAACAGTGAGACCCCCGTCTCTGTCTTTAAAGAAGAAAAAAATCAAAGAATAAATAAAACTGGAGTTCCTTCACCTCTTGACAAAGCTGACACTTTTTTTTTTTTTTTTTTTTTTGAGACAGAGAAGAAAAGAAAACTCTACAGTCAGAATCGTACTTTGAGTCTTGCTCTGTTGCCCAGGCTGGAGTGCAGTGGCGTGATCCTGGCTCACTGCTACCTCCGCCTCCTGGGTTCAAGCAATTCTCTGCCTTGGCTTCACGAGTAGCTAGGATTACAGGCGCTCGCCACCACGCCTGGCTAATTTCTGTATTTTTAGTAGAGACAGGGTTTCACCATCTTGGCCAGGCTGGTCTCGAACTCCTGACCTCATGATTCACCCACCCTGCCCTCCCAAAGTGCTGGGATTACAGGTGTAAGCCACCCTGCCTGGCAGACACTTAAACCTACACATTGGTTGGTGTGACGTTAATTCATTTTTACAAAATAAGTGTATAACCAGGAAGTACTAGTCCTGCTTTCTGTGTCTGTCCCAATTTTTAACAGGAAGCTCACTGCACTTCTCAATTGTCACCCCTGCCCCCAGCCCTGATCCATGGCCTCTAACCCAAGAATGAGCCAAGAACCCGCTGCTCTAGAGACGTCAAGCAGCAAAATCCTGCCCAAGGCTGTTAAAATGTGTGGGCACTCATTTACACTCGTGCTGTCATTAAACACTTTCTTGAGCAGGGATGATTCTGTCCTGTTTCATTTCCATAAGCAAACTGGCGTCCAAGGCCACAAGCCCTCTGTAAAAATAAGAACTCGGCACAAATGGCCAGTCACACGCTTACCTGCATTTTTAAAGAGAGCTTTCAGATATTTAGGGGCTACATTATTACCAAACCTTGGCTTTGGGAGATTATACAGGTCCGAGGAACTCGTGTCTACTGCAGACGAATGCAGTTACCCCACCTTCCTCCATACAGAATTGTCAGGAAACGTCCACTCCTTTGGGGGTGATTTTTCTCCTCAAGTTGTAGACAGCATTCCGTTCATAGCTGATTTCAGGGCAAACATTTCTGACATCTTCCTCCAGCTCAGTCTGCCATGACTTGGCAGTCCAGTTTCCTGTCATATGCAAGCCATCCAAGTTGATGCGAAGTAAGATGTGCCCAGGTCAAAGTGGAAGTGTGTGCGTCTTGGTATCCGGAATCCTCAGCCCCAGTAGCAAAGCTTTAGTCATTCACCTCCATCCAATAGACGTTTGTGAATGTCCTGCTGTCCATTTTGTCAATAAACAGGCAGCCCTGCAGGTGGTCCATCTCGTGCTGGATGATGCGGGCTGCCCACCCGCTCGCCTGCCACGCCACCTGTTCTCCATTGGGGTCCAACCCTGCAAAGCAAGTTACAGCCCTGGTGAGTGGGAACAGCTGAACTGCATCATCCTCGACCTCCTCACCCCTGCACCTGGCTGTTCCCATTGACAAGAGGCAACAGCAGACGGCAAATGTAGACAGCAGCTCCTCTCCTAACTGGAAACCGTGCCTCACATCGGCCCATTACCAAGTGTTCAACCTGATTCCCAACTCTGGTAATTAGGTTATGGAGCTCACTGTAGAGCTGAGATGAGAAATCATCTTCCTACGGTTCGACCCTTCCGAACACTCCTCCCGTTTCTGAGGTATCCGTGGGCTCTCAACTCCTAACAGACGTTCTGCAGCTTAAGACCCCACTGTTTTTCTGACCCTCTTCAACCGATGAGCTTCCTCTGCAGGAACAATCACCCCGACCCCAGCAGAGCCTGCATTCCGCGAGACATCCTGTGGTACCACGCGGGGAATGGCTTAGCCCCCTGGGCTGGGTCAGGCTGGGGAACCAATCCCCACTTCTCTAACTCCATCGTGGCGGATCTAACTAGGGCCGAAGAGAGTGTTTGCTTCAGAAAGCAAGGGAGCAGAAAGCAGACGCCGGGCTATCAGGAATTAGGGGATTCCTCCTCGCCCCTGCGTCCTATCTGAGCGGGCTCTGCCCCACAAGAGCTTCTATCCGTCCTGAAGCCTGTACGCTCCCACGTCCCACTTCGCTCCTACGGCAGATGAACCGCGACCACTTCTGCGCTCTCGCCAGAGTCGGGCGGAAAAGACTCGCGCGCTGCTCCAGCCGCCCCGGCCCCGCCGCCCGCACCTGAGATCTGCACCGCCTGGAAGCGGGGCACGCAGGCCAGGAAGCCGGCGACGCTCTCGCAGCCCTCGGGGAAGGTCACCAGGCGGCTGTCCAGCACCCGCAGGTTGGGGTTCACGAACACGCGCAGAGGGAAGGGCTCCATCTGTCGAAGCGCGCGCTGGCGCGGCGGGCACTCCCGACACAGCACCTCGGGCAGCTCCAGCGCCAGCACCTGCAGCGGCACCCCCAGCTGCGGCGCGCTTAGGCCCACGCAGCGGCGCCGCCGCATCACCTGGACCAGCCGCTGCGTCAGCCGCTGTAGCTCGGGCCCGCCCAGCTGCGCCCGCTCTACCGGGGCCGCCACGCCTCGCAGCACCGGGTCTCCGACCTGGCACACGTGCGGGAACGGCGGTTCGGGAGGACCCAGTACCAGGTGCCTCAGGTGGCGCCAGTAGGAGCGCCGGAGCGCAGGGCCCTCGACGCCGTCCGGGGCGGCCGTGGAGCTGCAGGCCCGGGCACCGACGGCTGCCGCCCCTGCCCACGGCACTGCCGCCCAGAGCGGCCCCAGTCTCAGCGAGCCCCACAGCCGGGCCATGGCGGCTCGTGCAACTGTAAATCGGCCCGCCCCTTCCGGCCGCAGCACAGGGCACGCCGGGAAGCACCGTCAGCCAGAGCACAGCAAGCAAGCGGCTGGACCCCCCACTTCCTGCCCAGACCCGGAGTGAGCACCGCCCCCTTCCGCTCTCCTGCCCTGAGCGTCTTCCTCCCTCCCGAGCCCGCCCTGGGCCTTCCAGGGCGACGCAACCTTGTCCCCCCGCCCCACCCCGCGCCGGGCACCGCACGCACCGCGTTCTGGAGGCTGGGGACGGCGGCTAGGGCCCCACTCTGGGCGGTTCCGCGTCCACCTCCGCTCGCCCTCCCTCCGGGCAGGCTGGGCCCGCGGGATCCAGGCGTGGCTCCTCGGAGGGAGGCTCTAGTGCCGGAGCTGTGAGCTCGGGCCCCAGCGCCTGGTCATCCAGGGTGAAGAGCGTCTCTCTCTTTGGCAGGATAAAGGCGAGGGGCTCTTGAATGGCGCCGATGTTCACATGCCCGAGGTTTCCGTACTTGGAGAGCTGAGTGGGAGGAATGCCTGCCCCAGACGTGGGGAAAGCAAAATGGAAAAAAGTTATTAATAAAATTCAATATAGAAATTTAAGGAGAAAAAACAGAAGCAATTACTATTTATTTTTTTGAGACAGTCTCACTCCGTCGCCCAGGCTGGAGTGCAGTGGCATGATCGCTGCTCACTGCAACCTCTGCCTCCCAGGTTCAAGCAGGTCTCATGCCTCAGCCTCCGTGGTAGCTGGGATCACAGGCGCCCGCCACCAAGCCAGGCTAATTTTTGTATTTTTAGTAGAGATGGGGTTTTACTATGTTGGCCAGGCTGCTCTCAAACTCCCGACCTCAGGTGATGCATCCGCCTCGGCCTCCCAAAGTGCTGGGATTACAGGCATGAGCCACTGCGCCCAGTCATCAATTACTGTATTTCAATACAGCAAAAACCACCTTTGTCATAGGGAACGGGAAGCTATACCGTGAAGCACAAGGTAACAGAGCAGCACTGTTGGGCGCCTGCAGCAGGAATCCAGACCTCAGGGAGCACCAGGGGAAAAGCGGAGGGCAGCCAGGCTTTGCAGGTGTGATGCACTGACGCATTGCCCTTTGGGAAGCTGCGCCTCAACCAAGCCCTTCTCCCATCACAAGGGGACAAGGACGTGAAAGTGAATCGGAAAAAAGACTTTAGGACGGGCGCGATGGCTCACACCTGTAATCCCAGCACTTAGGGAGGCCGAGGCAGGCGGATCACAAGTCAAGAGGTCGAGACCATACTGGCCAACGTGGTGAAACCTCGTCTCTACTAAAATACAAAAATTAGCGGGGCGTGGTGGTACGAGCCTGTAGTCTCAGCTACTCGGGAGGCTGAGGCAGGAGAATTGCTTGAACCCAGGAGGTAGAGGTTGCAGTGAGCCAAGACTGTGCCACTGCACTCCAGCCTGGCAACAGAGCGAGACTCCACCTCAAAAAAAAAAAAAAAAAAAAAAAAAAGACTTTAAAAACCCTTTCTCTAGACATTTCACATAAATGGAATCATACGTATGTGGTTCTTTTGTGACTGGCTTCTTCCACTTAGATACAACTATATAATGTATGATTCCATTTTTATGAAATGTCCACAAAAAGCAAATCTATGGCAACAGAAAGTAGGTTGCCAGGGGCTAAGGATGCTGTCGAGGAATGACTACAGATGTGCATGAAGGATCTTTTTGGAGTGATGGAAATATTCTAAAATTGGATTCATACTTACTAAACACTGACTTACACAAATGGGTGAATTATTTAGTATGTGAATTACACATCAGTAAGGCAGTTTACAAAATTTTCTTACCTAAAGTCTGTGCTATCTGAGCTGGTGGAAAAAGGACTTGGAGACAGCGATTTAAATACGGAACAAGGTCTTCCAGAAAGACAGTGCAGAACTGGACGAAGAGCTCTTGCTCCCCTCTGCTGAAGGCAGTCTCTTCAGCGCGATGGAAGGCCAGGATTATTTTAGTTACCTAAGAGACAAGGGCACCATCAATCACTGGGACAGCCTATCACCACTGGGACAGCAGTGCGTGAAACTAGGCAAAAAAAAGGTATACCCCCCCTCAAGTTTTCTTGAACAAAGTAATTTAACAGTACATTATTTTACTGTCTCATTTAAACTCAAAATTATGGTCATTCTCCACAATTGTGTCACTTTATTAATGTGAAGTTCAGACCCAACTTGTTACATTATGGGTGTAGTTTCCAGTTCCAGTGGAGGAATGTCATAAAACTATAGAGAATACATGGTTTTGGTGTTTTGTTTTTTTTTTTCAGAGACACAATTTTGCTCTGTCACCTATGCTGGAGTGCAGTGGCACCATCATAGCTCACTGTAGCTTCAAACTCCTGGGCTCAAGGAATACTCCCACCGTAGCCTCCCAAGTAGCTGGGGCTACAGGCATGCACCATCATGCCTGGCTAAGTTTTAAAATTTTTTATAGAGACAGGGTCTTGTTTTGTTGCCCAGGCTGGTCTAGAGCTCCTGGCTTCAAGAGATCCTCCTGCTTCAGCCTCCCAAAGTGTTGGCATTTCAGGTGTGAGCCACTGCGTTTGGCCCAATACATGGTTCTTAACTTCCATAGACGACCAACCAGAACTGTGCTGGATCCAGGAAAATGAAGCAAAACTATATGAGGTTTCCACTAAGGCCCCTGAGGTTCCAGAAAGCTAGAACCACCGGAAAACTGTAAGAAAACAGCTAGGAAAGAGAGGTTTCAAAACCAACAGAGCAGCCTAGCTGACACTACAGACATGCGGCATAGCGACAGGGTAAGAACACAGACTCTGGTGCTGGACTTCTGGGTTCAAGTGACTCACACCTGTAATCTCACACTTTGAGGGGCTGAAGCAGGAGGATCACTTGAGTCCAGGAGTTTGAGACCAGCCTAGGCAACATAGGGAGACTCTCTCCATAAAACAAAACACTTAAAAAAATATATGCTAAAGGTGAAGGGTTTTGCAGATGTAATTAAGGTCCCTAATCATCTGACTTAATCAAATGAATCTTTTGAAAGGAGGTACCTAAAAGAAGAGACTCAAGCAAGAGAGAAGCTCTCCTGCTGGCTCTGAGGAAGCAAACAGCCATGTTGTCAGCTGCCTACGGAGTAGACAGCCTCTAGGAGCGAAAGCTTCAGTTCTGCAATTGCAGGGAACTGACCCCCGCCAACTTGAATGAGTGTGAAATGGAGCCCCAACCTCCAGATGAAACCATAGGCCAGCCAACACCTTGATGGCAACCCTGTAAGACCCTGAGCAGAGAGGACCCAGTTGTGCTGAGACTGGACTCCTGACCCACCAAAACTGGGAAGTAATAAATGTGCTGCTGGAAGCTAAGTTTCTAGGAATTTGTTACACAGCACTAGAAAGCTAATACGTGCATTACTGAATTGTTACTATAGGCAAGTCACTTCATGGACTGTCCTAGGTCCCATGAAGGGCAACTGGCCAGAGCTTTTCAACCAGGAGAACCTCCAAAACCACACTAAACCTCTCCATGTCAGCAGACACCACTGTCAAATAGACGGGTTTATTACAAAAATCTGGCCACCCATTACCAGAGAAGGCCCAGGGTAGCCGAAAACCAACAGAATGTGCTCACCTTGGCAAGGGCATCTTCCAAGGCCCCAGTCACATCCTGCGCCAGGGCCACAGGGCAGCAGAGCCGCAGATCATTGAAGGCAACCAGAATATTGTTGAGGAAGCAGGCGAGGGGTGGGAAATCTAGGAGCACCATGGGTGGCTGCAGCGTCCCTGGCTGGGTGGCTGGCACAACAGTAGGCATGTTACTGGTGCCCAGGATGGCTGGAGCTGAGATGAGTGTGTAGGAGTTCATTTCTTCCTGGAATTTCTCCACTGTTTCCTGAATTGCTTTCTGGAAAGTGCTGATGGCCACCCGCTGGAAAACAGGAGCCAACTGACCACGGAAATCAGCTCCCACCCGGCTGAAGGACAGCCCAAAGTACATGCACTGGCCCAGCAGAGAGTCCAGGCGGCCGCCTATGCCCCGGTAAAGGTCGGTCTCCAGTACCTGCAGGAACTGTGAGACTTTCTGTAGCACCCAGCCATGGAAGATGGCACTCTCATTCACGGTGTGCTCACCCACGGCAGGGGGCAGCAGTGGGTCCTCATCTGAGAAGATGGCACGGTACTGGGTGATGATATCAAAGAGATGGACACGGCAGGCCTCGATGGTTTTTGTGATATGGAAATAGGGATCATCATTAGGAATGGCAGTCAAGATGGACCGGAGCCAAGCATCTCGGGCCTGAAGAAACTTCACCCTTAACTCAGCCTCAGTGAAGACATCCATGCGCCGCAGGTAGCCAATGACACGGAGGCAGGCGGGGAGCTGGATGTTGGTCCTCAGTTGCTGGATCAGCTGGCTCAGCATCAGCTGCATGGACTGGCGCACTTCGTTCACGATGCCCTGACAATACATAGAGTCACACTGTGCTGGGAAGGATGCTCTCTAGAACCCATTCCCCTAACCCTGAACACTGCAGACCAACATTCCCATGGCTTTCCTGAAATATGAAGCAATTTCCTAAAGCTGATGCCTGTAGGTTCACCAACAAAGATCAGGTTAACTCTCTTGCTTAAAAAGCTTAAAACCTGGCCAGGTGCAGTGGCTCACACCTGTAATTCCAGCACCGTGGGCAGGCGGATCACTTGAGGTCAGGAGTTTGAGACCAGTCTGGCCAACATGGTGAAACCCCGTCTCTACTAAAAATACAAAAAGTAAGGCCGGGCGCGGTGGCTCAAGCCTGTAATCCCAGCACTTTGGGAGGCCGAGGCGGGCGGATCACGAGGTCAGGAGATCGAGACCATCCTGGCTAACATGGTGAAATCCCGTCTCTACTAAAAAAATACAAAAAAACTAGCTGGGCAAGGTGGCAGGTGCCTGTAGTCCCAGCTACTCAGGAGGCTGAGGCAGGAGAATGGCGTAAACCAGGGAGGGGGAGCTTGCAGTGAGCCGAGATCCAGCCACTGCACTCCAGCCTGGGCAACACAGTGAGACTCCATCTCAAAAAAAATAAAATAAAATAAAATAAAAATACAAAAAGTAGGTGGGTGTGGTGGCGCAGGCCTGTAATCCCAGTTACTCGGGAGGCAGAGGCAGGAGAACCACCTGAACCTGGGAGATAAATGTTGGTTGCAGCGAGCCGAGGTCACGCCACTGCACTCCAGCCTGGGCGACAGAGCGACTCTGTCTCAAAAAAAAAAAAAAAAAAAAAAAAAAAAAAAAGCTTAAAACCCTCCTGTGACTTCCCACTGCAATCGAGAAAATTCCAGCCACTCATTGGGACTTATACTGGTGGCCTTACCTGGTTCTCCATCTTCACCTGCTTCCTTATGCTCTCCCACTGCTACAATCCATTAACTCTGGCTGCCTCTGTATTCCTTAAATACCTCAATTTCTGCCCACTTCAGCCCTCTCCACTTGTTCTTCACACTTTCTGGTTTGCTCTCTCCTCAGATCTTTGTGGGCTGGCTCCTTCTTCTCACTTAGGTCTCAGCTTAAGTGTTACCTCCCCAGAAGAGTCTGTCTTGATCACCCTACCTAAAGAAACCTACCCTAGACTCCCTCTACCCCATTTCCCATTTTTTTTTTAATCAGACACCACTATCTGAAATGATATCATTTATTTCTTTGTCAATTATCAGACTTCCCATTAGCACGTAAGCTGCATGAGAGCCAGGATCACTTTATTCACACTGTGTCCCCAGCATATAGAGCAGTGCTTGGCACGTGATTAATACGTATTTTGAATAAATGAATGTTTTCAGAAACTGATGTGAAACATGCAAGGGTTTCTACCTAAAGCTTCAGTCCTGACCACAGAATAAATGATTACAAGAACATTACTTTGAGTCCTCTCTGGGTAAGTTGGCTACCTGGATGACAGGGATGGAAGAGTATTTCCTCTCCAGTCGGCGTACATAGGCTGCAAGCTCCAGGGCCTCTTCATAGTAACTGTTCCGGACACAGGTGTCCATGAGCTGAGGAATCTCCAGTATTTCCAAAATTTCTGTGTGCCGGTTTAGGGTCAGGCTATTCATCCGACGGTTGGAGCTGATCTCCTCGGCTTCCTTCACAAAGTTCCTAGTAATAATCAGGAGAATGTTGGTCCTTCACTGCTCTGTACCCAAACCTTAGCTACAGTTACCAAGCACCTGCTATGAACATTGGGCTGGATGATCTATCTGATTTATTCCTCATACCCCACCTATAAGGTAAGCATTATTACAATTGAGGAAATTTTTAATCCCAGAGAGGTTAAGCAACTTGTCCAAAAACATACAATTAATAAATCTAACAGACAGAAATCCAGATATGCCACTGCCTGGCTGTGGCAAGGTACTTGGCCTCTCTGAACCTATTTCCTCATTGGTAAAACAGTATATAGGGCCGGGCGCGGTGGCTCATGCCTGTAATCCCAGCACTTTGGGAGGCCGAGACAGGCGGATCACTTGAGGCCAGGGGTTCAAGTGAAATCCCATCTCTACTAAAAATACAAAAAATTAGCCAGGCGTGGTGGCGCGTGCCTGTAGTCCCAGCTACTCGGGAAGCTGAGGCAGGAGAATCACTTGAACCCAGGAGGTGGAGGTTGCAGTGAACAGAGATGGCGCCACTGTACTCCAGCCTGGCCGACAGAGCAAGACTCCATCTCAGGAAAAAAAAAAAAAAGTATATAGGACCCTCCTCACAAGGATGTAAGAAATGAGATGATGCGTGTGAAGCATTTAACACAGAACTTGAAACAGAGCAAATGCATCAGAGTAAAAATAGTAAAAGACACAGAGTTAAATATTTAACAATAGCTATCATTATTTTCATAATGAAGCACTAACTAGCCTAGAATCCACAACCTTTCCCCATATTCCCTCAGGTCTTCATCTTCTCCTGTGCTAATGTTCAACCATAGCTCCTGCCACAGTCTACTTTCAACATTTCTCTATATTTGCAGACACCTGCTTGATCAAGTCCCTTGTCTACTCTGGAGCATGGAAGGGTACAAAAGCTGCTGTCAGATATCTAAAGGCTCAAAAGAAAAATTAAACTTTAATCATGAAAGGCTGGAAGGCAAAACTATGGATAATGGACTGAGGATCTATGGAGACAGAATATGACTCACAAAGGACTTTTTTTTTTTTTGAGACGGAGTCTTGCTCTGTCACCAGGCTGCAGTGCTCTGGCACGCACCATCTTGGCTCACTGCAACCTCCGCCTCCCAGGTTCAAGTAATTCTCCTGCCTCAGCCTCCCAAGTAGCTGGGATTACAAGTGCTCACCACCACACCCAGCTAATTGTTGTATTTTTAGTAGAGATGGGGTTTCAGCATGTTGGCGAGGATGGCCTCGATCTCTTGACCTCGTGATCCGCCTGCCTTGGCCTCTCAAAGTGCTGGGATTACAGGCATGAGCCAACGCACCCGGGCTTTCTTTTTTTAAGACAGAGTTTCACTCTGTCACCCAGTCTGGAATGCAGTGGCACAATTACAGCCCACTGCAGCCTCGACCTCCCAAACTGGAGTGCGGTGGCACAATCGGGCCCAACTGACCCTCCCACCTCAACCTCCTGTATAGCTGGGACTACAGGCGCACGCCACCACGCCCAGCTAATTTTTTATTTTGTAGAGACAGGGTTTTGCTGTGTTGGTCAGGCTGCTCTCAAACTCCTGGGCTCAAGTCTCAGGCTCCCAAAGTGCGGGATTACAGGCTGAGCCACCGCATCCAGACGTCCAAAAGGAGAGGCGTTTGGTATCTGATGCCCTCAAATGGGAGGATTTCCATGTCGGCTTCCCGTCAATGGAAGTTTTGAAGCAGATGACCTCTGGTCCAAGCTTTCGTATAAAATAAGTATATAAATGTACACATATATTCAGCTCACACCTATAATGTTAACTATGTCAGACCCGATAATAAGAGCTTTGCATGAATCCTTTTTCTTTAGTGCCCACAACAGCCCTTCGAGGGAGGGATATGCTCCTGGGTCATCAGTTCTGAATTCGCAACCTCCTAGCTGTGTCCTTAGACATCACTAATCTCTGTCTTGACTTGCTCATATGTAAAATGGAAATAACAGGGCTGGGTGCGGCGGCTCACGCCTGTAATCCCAGCGCTTTGGGAGGCCGAGGCGGGCAGATCACGAGGTCAAAAGATGGAGACCATCCTGGCCAACATGCTGAAACCCCGTCTCTACTAAAAATACAAAAAAAATTAGCTGGGCGTGGTGGCGCACCCCTGTGGTCCCTGGTACTCAGGAGGCTGAGGCAGGAGAATCGCTTGAACCCGGGAGGCGGAAGTAGGTTGCAGCGAGCCGAGATCTCGCCACTGCACTCCAACCTGGCGACAGGGCGAGACTCCGTCTCAAAAAAGAAAAAAAAAAAAGGGAATAACAGTACCTACCTCGAAGGCTGTTGTGAGGTTTAAATGGATTAATAAGGCGCTCAGCAGAGAACCTGGAACGTGGTAAACGCTTTATAAGTGTTAGTTATTTCTACCATCGTAAACGTCAGCTTTTACAGTTAGAAACCCCTTTAGCGCCAGGCGCGTCGCACCTGCAGCTCTGCTGGAAGCTGGGCAAGCGGTCGAGCAGGCGGCCGAGCGATGCCTCCACGTCGCCAAAGAGGCGGTGGATGCGCTCGGTGCACTCGGCGCCGCGGATGAAGGTCTTGTAGTTGGCGAAGGCCAAGTCGCGTGTCTGCTGCAGCAGCTGCGCCCGCTCCTCCGCCAGGCGCTCGGGCTCGCGCCGCAGCCGCTCCAGCCCCGAGCCGCTCAACTCCCGGAGGTAGCGGCCCACATCGGGCCGCTCACGCCACTGGGCCTCGGGGAAGCGGTCCCGGAACAGCGACGCCAGGAGCCCTTCATCCTCCACCTCGCCGAGAGCCGCTGCCGTGGCCCTGGCCGTGGCCGAGACCGTGGCTGACGATGAGGCCGTCGCCGCGGTAGCCATCTTCCCCGCAATAACGTCACTTCCCCTCCGGACCACCGGGGGCGCTGACTCCGAATTTAGGACAGGAAGAAACAGGACCATTTCCGGTCTCTATCTTTTCATCCAGTCGGCTTGCTTTCCCCGGCAGTCGTCCAGACTATTGGGCGCTAGCGAGAGGAACTATTGGTACGGGGCTAGAGAGGAAGGCTTTGGGGTTGCCGGGGAGCAGCGAGCGGCCGACTTCCGTTTCCGCTTACGGAGGCACGAGGATCCGGTGTTCCAACCCACGGAGAAAATGCGGCCTTTGACTGAAGAAGAGACCCGTGTCATGTTTGAGAAGATCGCGAAATAGTAGGAGCGCGCGGGGCGGAGGCGGGAGTGTGTGGGTGTGGTGGCTGGGGGTGGAGTGGGGGCGCGGTGCCTAGACCGGTCCGTTCGGGCGCGGTCTCCAGTCCTCTTTTTGCCCTCAGTATCGGGGAGAATCTTCAGCTGCTGGTGGACCGGCCCGATGGCACCTACTGTTTCCGTCTGCACAACGACCGGGTGTACTATGTGAGGTGAGGCGGGGCCGGGCAGGCAGCATGGACCCAGGGGAGGGGAGACCTGGGTCCCACCAGCCTCCTTTATCCGCAGTGGTGCTCCCCCTTTACCCTTTTAGTGAGAAGATTATGAAGCTGGCCGCTAATATCTCCGGGGACAAGCTGGTGTCGCTGGGGACCTGCTTTGGAAAATTCACTAAAACCCACAAGTTTCGGTTGCACGTCACAGCCCTGGATTACCTTGCACCTTATGCCAAGGTTTGTGGGGTGGTTTCCAATTCTGCCACGAGCGATGAAGTCAAGGATTAGGCAGATTGTCCGGCAGCTTTTCTCCCACAGAGTTCCTGATAGTGTGCTTGGAGGAGTGTCAGCACATGGAGATGTGCAGAGGTCTTGCACCTTGGGCATGGTCAGGGCTATGGGATAGGAGTGCTGTGGGGCTGTGTAGTGTTCGTTTTCTCCAGCGAAGTAGAAAAGCCTAGGCAGACCCAGCTAGAGATCAGAAAGCAAGTTAGTGGCAGCAGTGAAGACACCGGGGTCCAGAAAAAGAGCTGTTAACCTGGCCATGGAAGATGATCCCTGTAGAGTTGAGAAAATAACTTTTTGCATTTCTTTTTTTAAATTCCTTTTTCTTTCTTGCTCTTTTTTTTTCTTTTCATTTCTTTCTCTCTTTTTCTTCCTGACAGTTTCACTCTGTTGCCCAGGCTAGAGTGCAGTGGTGCGATCTCACTGCAGCCTCCGCCTTCCAGGTTCCAGCAATTCTTGTGCCTCAGCCTTCTGAGTAGCTGGGGTTACAGGTGTGTGCCACCACACCTGGCTGATTTTTTTGTGTGTTTTTAGTAGACACAGTGTTTCGCCGTGTTGGCCAGACCAGTCTCGAACTCCTGGCCTCAAGTGATCCACCTGCCTCGGCCTCCCAAAGTGCTGGGATTACAAACGTGAGCCACTGCGCCGGGCAACTTCCTGCATTTCTGTTCAGGAGATGGACAGTTTGAGGAAAACATGAGTCTCTTTCTGTTTCCCTTAAAATTATTTCAGAAAATTATTCACAGATCCAGCAGCTAGTTTGTCTGCATGGATAGAAATAGTAACGTTTTTGTGTCTCTTGGATTTTAATTCTCTTACAGTATAAAGTGTGGGTAAAGCCTGGTGCAGAGCAGTCGTTCCTGTATGGGAACCATGTGTTGAAATCTGGTCTGGGTCGAATCACTGAAAATACTTCTCAGTACCAGGGCGTGGTGGTGTACTCCATGGCAGACATCCCTTTGGTGAGTAGAAATAGCAGCTATTACAGAACTCAAGTACTCTTTTATTCAAGAAGGATATGTTTTCAATCTGGGTGATTGAGAGAATAAATTCGCAGCACCTTTTGAATGCCAGAAAGACCAGAACTGTATTTTTTCTGTCTTTGTTATTTCCAGCCCTCAATATGGGTATATTGAATGACTTCAGTGAGTTAATGTCTCTTCTTTTGAATCCCAGGGTTTTGGAGTGGCAGCAAAATCTACACAAGACTGCAGAAAAGTAGACCCCATGGCGATTGTAGTATTTCATCAGGCAGACGTTGGGGAATATGTGCGGCATGAAGAGACGTTGACTTAAAACGAAGTCATTGCAAGGACAGGCAGCTGTATGGAATGGTCGAGCTTTGTTTCCTGTGTTTGTGTGGACTCCACCGTCATGTTGAATTTTGTCAACATTCTGATCTTATTTACTGTACTTTCTATCATTGACAAGTGCAGGCTGGATTCTTATTATATACAGAGATAGCTCAAAAATGGGGTTTCAGATCTTTGTGATGAAATAGAATACTCTGTTTCATATTTGAATCAGAGGGCTTCTTGTTCTGAGAAATAGGTTCAAAATCATTGGAACTAGGAACAAGAATAGCTTATTGTTATCTGTGATAACACTTTGTTTTCTAAACTCATGATAAGAACACGGGATTGTCTTTTTTATTAATATGCAAGATAGATATTTCCATAACAGAATAATAAACCACATGTGGGATTTTAAAAATGAAATTTGTCTAAAATAATAAGAGCAATTCAGCTATTTTTCTATATGGTAATTGGTGTGTGGTATGGAAGAAAAACGTATTCAAACCCCACTACTGCCACCTACCAGCTATATGGCCTTGAATGAGTCATTCAGCTTTAATAAGGTTCGTTTTCTTCTGTTTAAAAAGATACAAAACTTAAAAAATAGCTTTGGCCATCTACCTGAGAATTAGAAATTCTGATTTTTGGAATTAGAAATCATGATTGTAGGCTGGGCACAGTGGCTCACGCCTGTAATCCCAGCACTTTGGGAGGCCAAGGCGGATGGATCACTTGAGGTCAGGAGTTTGAGACCAGCCTGGCCAACCTGGTGAAACCCCATCTCTACTAAATATAAAAAAATTAGCCAGGTGTGGTGGCACATGGCTGTGGTCCTAGCTACTTGGGAGGCTGAGGCAGGAGAATGGCTTGAACCGGGGAAGCAGAGGTTGCAGTGAGCCGAGATGGTGCCATTGCATTCCAGCCTGGGTGACGGAGTGAGACTCCGTCTGATTGTAAAGCATCTAGTACGGTGTACAGTGCCTGGGAAATGATAGGTTTGGAATAAATGGTAAGAATTATTTTTATATTATATATATTATGTATTCCTGTTATTAAGTATAGAGTTTTATGAGTATAATTTGATTATATTACCTTCTTTTTTACAAGCTGTTTTCTCAGTATTTTTCTTGGATGGGATGATCCTAAGCTGGAATGTGTTTTTCATCACTATAATTTTATAAAACATGATTTTTTTCTATGAACCTTTACTTTCTTGACTGGATTGAACTAAAAGCACTGATCAAAGACGGCGACATAAAAATTCAGTCCCTGGCCGGGCGCGGTGGCTCAAGCCTGTAATCCCAGCACTTTGGGAGGCCGAGACGGGTGGATCACAAGGTCAGGAGATCGAGACCATCCTGGCTAACCCGGTGAAACCCCGTCTCTACTAAAAAATACAAAAAACTAGCCGGGCGCGGTGGCGAGCACCTGTAGTCCCAGCTACTCGGGAGGCTGAGACAGGAGAATGGCGTGAACCCAGGAGGCGGAGCTTGCAGTGAGCTGAGATCCGGCCACTGCACTCCAGCCTGGGCGACAGAGCGAGACTCCGCCTAAAAAAAAAAAAAAAAAAAATTCAGTCCCTTTGTCCTTCCCCGTGCCTCCCAAAGTTATTTTAAGATCATTAGAATATTTCTTTAGTAACATTTTATAGACAAAAAATGTAAAGACTTCCTGTATTGCAAAACCAAACTACTTCTTTAATGAATATACTGCTTATTTTAAGTTCCAAAGGTGAAGTCTTTAAGAATAAAACATTACCGACTCCTGCTTTTATATGTAAGCAAACTTGATTGTGGCCTTTTTCAACTCGTCTTCCTTCTAAGGTTTTCTGTTAGCCTCTAAGTAGACTCAGTGAAGGCTACAGGACTGCTATATGATGAACAGTATTTTGATGCATACATTTAATACTTCTTCAGAACTTTTTCATTGTTGTTATTTTATTGCCATTTTGCCTTTTTAGATGTGTACAGTAGACTAAAACATTAATGAAATAAATCGATTTTTGTCCCATAACATTACAAAGCTGATTTCGACTAAGCCCCAGAAGAAAAGAGCCAGGGTGCTATAGTCACCTTAGCTTAGCATCTTGGCTTCTTTGTGTCTGTAGTTGTTGGAACATTGAAGAGACGCTTCAAGAAATACAGTTGCAGGATTCCAGAAAGAATAATAACGAGGCTCTGGGCTGTCGACCACCAGTTCACGTAGTTATAGTTTGAATGGGTAAGGAAAAAGTCAGCCATTTTCCTCATCCGGGCAAAGTTGTAGTATCGCCACATGTGAAAGATATTGTTCTGCACCTTTTGTGTGCTGTCCTATGAGAGAAAATTTTAAAGGGGATTCTTCCAAACCCCTATCTAGCCTCACCTGGGTGCTCACCAGCACTAACCTACCTGGAAGTCAAATAATTTACCCATACAATTTTAAGATGTACAATACTATTATAGTTGTTGATAAATGTTGTGTCTGCTGTGTATGAAATATGATCTGGACTTGAGTTTGCGATTTTTGTTTTTGTTTTTCGAGACAGGGTCTCACTTGTTTGCCCAGGCGGGAGTACAGTGGCGCAGTCACAGCTCACTGCAGCCTCAACCTTCTGCGCTGAAGCGATCTTCCCACCTCGGCCTCCCTAGTAGCTGGGACTACAGGCCTGTGCCACCACATCTGACTAATTTTTGTATTGTATTTTTTTGTTTTGTAGAGACAGGGTTTTGCCATGTTGCCCAGGCTCATCTCAAACTCCTGGGCTCAAAAGATCCACCCACACTGGCCTCCCAAAGTGTTGGGGTTATAGACATGAGCCACTGCCCCGGCCTTTTCTTTTGTTTTATTTTTAAATAATGGAAAACTTCAGTTCTCAAACTAGAGAGCTCTTCCAGAGGACCTCTAGATTTAGATGTACTCAGCATGTTGTTACCATTCCAGGTGATGTTTTATATTCTCTGTATATGGTAGAAGACAAGAGCCTGTGGACTTTAAGGCCAGATGGTAAATATTTTTGGCTTTGAAGGCCCTTGTGACTGCTGAACTCTGCCACTGTAGTACAAAAGCAGCCACAGACAATATGTAATTGTCAAATGAGCGTGGCTGTGTTTCAAGAAAACTTCCATTTACAAAAACAGGCAGTGAGTTTTTGTGCATTTAGGAGAGACTAAGAAAGTGAAAAGTGGGCCATGCGCAGTGGCTCACGCCTGTAATCCCAACACTTTGGGAGGCCGAGGTGGGCGGGTTACCTGAGGTCAGGCATTTGAGATCAGCCTGGCCAACATGGTGAAACCCCGTCTCTACTAAAAATACAAAAATTAGCCGGGTGTGGTGCCACATGCCTGTAATTCCAGCTACTCAGGAGGCTGAGGCAGGAGAATTGTTTGAGCTTGGGAGGCAGAGGTTGCAGTGAGCCGAGATTGTGCCACTGTACTCCAGCCTGGGCGGCAGAGCGAGGCTCTGTCTCAAAAAAATAAAAAGGAAAAAAAGAAAAGAAAGGGAAGAATAACTGGGCGCAGTGGCTCATTCCTGTAATCTTAGCACTTTGGGAGGCCAAGTTGGGCAATTACCTGAAGTCAGGAGTTCAAGACCAGCCTGGCCAACATGGTGAGACCCCATCTCTACTAAAAATTCAAAAATTAGCCAGGTGTGGTGGTACCCGCCTGTAATCCCAACTACTTGGGAGACTGAGGCATGAGAATCACTTGAACCCGGGAGGTGGAGTTTGCAGTGAGCCAAAATTGTGCCACTGCACTCCAGCCTGGGTGACAAAGCAAGACTGTGTCTCAATAAATAAATACATAAATAAATAAAAATACAAAAATTATCTGGGCATTGTGGCACACACCTGGAGTCCCAGCTACTCAGGAGGTCGAGGCAGGAGAATCACTTGAACCTGGGAGGCGGAGGTTGCAGTGAGCCACGATCACGCCACTGCACTCCAGCCTGGGTGACAGAGTGAGACTCCGTCTCAAAAAAGAAAAAAGAAAGTGAAAAGACATTGCCAGAATGGGAGAAAATATCTGCAACTCACGTATCTTAGAAGGGATTTGTATCCAGAATATATAAATAAAATTCAACAATAAAAAGACAATTCAGGCAGGGCGCAGTGGCTCACGCCTGTATTCCTAGCACTTTGGGAGGCTGAGCTGGGCGGATCACAAGGTCAAGAGTTCAAGACTAGCCTGACTAACATGGTGAAACCCGTCTCTACTAAAAATACAAAAATTAGCTGGGCGTGGTGGCACGCGGCTGTAATGCCACCTACGCAGGAGGTTGAGGCAGGAGAATCACTTGAACCCTGGAGGCAGAGGTTGCAGCAAGCTGAGATTGCGCCATTGCACTCCAGCCTAGACAAGAGCGAAACTCCATCTCAAAAAATGACAATAAAAATAAGCCAGTCACAAAACCCTATGTACTGTGTGATTCCATTTAAATAAAGCGTATAGAGGCCAGCCGCAGTGGTTCAAATTGTTGATTAATCTCGACACAGTAGCTCAAAATGCTGAGTAATCTCAGCACTTGGGCAAGCTGAGGTGGGAGGATTGCTTGAGCGCAGGAGATTGAGGCTGCAGTGAGCTGTGATCAAGCCACTGCACACTGCAGCCTGGACAAGAGTAAGACCCTGTCTCAGAAATTAAGTACAGAGTAGGTAAATCTATAGAGACAGTAGAACAGTGATAGGCAGGCCTGGGGTAATAGAATGGAGAATGACTAATGAGTAGTGGGATTTTTTGGGGGGAGTGGGTGATAAACTTCCGGATTAGATGCTGATAGTTGCACAGCCTTGGGAATATACTAAAAAACCACGGACATACACTTTAAGATGGTGTATAAATTATATCTCAATTTAAAGAAAAACAGGCAATGGGCCAGATTTGGCCTGTGAGCCATACATAGTTTGCCAACCCTTGGTATAAAATGAAGGTGGAATTTCAAGAGCTTCAAGTCATAATGTATTTTATTTTATTTTGAGACAGACTCGTTCTATCTGAGGCTAGAGTGCAGTGGCACGATCTCAGCTCACTGCAACCTCTCCCTTCCGGGGTTTATGCGATTCTCCCGCCTCAACCTTCCGAGTAGCTGGGATTACAGGTGCGCACCACCATGCCTGGCTAATTTTTGTATTTTTAGTAGAGACAGGCTCTATGCGAGGCTGGAGTGCAGTGGCGCGATCCCGGCTCACTGCAACCTCTGCCTTCCGGGGTTTAAGCGATTCTCCAGCCTCAACCTTCCAAGTAGCTGGGATTACGGGTGCCCATCACCATGCCCGGCTAATTTTTGTATTTTTAGTAGACACGGGGTTTCACCATGTTGGCCAGGCTGGTTTCAAACTCCTGACCTCAAGTGATCCACCCGCCTCGGCCTCCCAAAGTGCTGGGATTATAGGCGTGAGCCATCACGCCCAGTCAAGTCATAGTTTATTAAGAGATTCACATCCCCTTGCCTGTTTGGTTTCTACCTAAATGAAGTCATCTTCCCTCTGAAGTTAAAATCAGTTTCCACAGATGTTTCTCTTCCACAAAACACTTCCTTACCTCTATTGCATCCAGAGTATCGTTCAGTTGTTTTCTTTCCTTCTGTTTGTGATCAGTCTCAGGCCCCTCATAGAAGACTCCAAAGTTGAGGTACACTTGCACAGAACCGAAGTGATTATGCTGATTATTTAGACAAAGCTGATAAAAACCTGTAGGAATTCTTAGATCATTACCAAGTCTTTGGTCTCCTCCCCTTTGTTAAAGTATCTGTCCTCTAGTTTTGGAATTCTACAGCACCTTCTTTTTACTTAGAAAGTACAAAGATCCCGTTTTTGACACGGAAGACATGGACCTTATGTTAAACTCGTACTAAATATTACTTATTGTATGGCCAAATTTTAGTAACTAGTCCTTTCCATACTGGATAGTGGCAAACAACATTTTCTCTTTTCCAACATGTAATTCCCACATCTTGTATTAAGGAACTCCTGCTCAACAGATTGAGTTAAGAGCATGGGTGTTTGCCTGGTCCTTTTATACTGTTAGAGCTAGGGACACCATCTTGAAATTAGGAAAGAAAAGAAAAATTGGATGCATAGTGCATGAAAGCAGCTCTCCTGGAGTGATTGCCTCCAAGACGTCTATGCATAACTCATGGTGTGGGATATCTGTTGGGGCTGGTGTTGCTTCCCTTTGTGTGTGCGGGGGGTGGAGAGGACCGGTGGAAGATGCGGTGGGGTGGGATTAGAAAGGTGTGGCAGTGTTTGAAAGTCAAAATTATTGGAGGGCACTACTGGCATGTAGGGGTCAAAGATGTTCAAGATCTTTTTTTTTTTTTTTTTTTTTTTTTTTTAAAACAAGAGTCTCTCTCTGTCGCCCAGGCTGGAGTGCAATGGCGTGCTCTCGGGCCACTGCAGCCTCTGCCTCCCCAGTTTAAGCGATTCTCTTGCCTCAGCCTCCTGGGTAGCTGGGATTACAGGTGTCTGCCACCACGCTCAGCTAATTTTTGTATTTTTAGTAGAGACAGGGTTTCACCATATTGAGCAGGCTGGTCGCGAACTGCTGACCGCACGTGATCCGCCCACCTTGGCCTCCCAAAGTGCTGGGATTACAGGTGTGAGCCACCATGCCCAGCCTGTTCAAGATCTATTTTTTTTTTTTTTTTTTTTTTTTTTTTTTTGGAGACGGAGTCTGGCTCTGTCGCCCAGGCTGGAGTGCAGTGGCTCTGTCGCCCAGGCTGGAGTGCAGTGGCCGGATCTCAGCTCACTGCAAGCTCCGCCTCCCGGGTTTACGCCATTCTCCTGCCTCAGCCTCCCGAGTAGCTGGGACTACAGGCGCCGCCACCATGCCCGGCTAGTTTTTTGTATTTTTTAGTAAAGACGGGGTTTCACCGGGTTAGCCAGGATGGTCTCGATCTCCTGACCTCGTGATCCGCCCGTCTCGGCCTCCCAAAGTGCTGGGATTACAGGCTTGAGCCACCGCGCCCGGCCAATCTTTTAACACTGATACATATCCTGTGCTTTATAGCGAAGGACTGTCTGATGCCCCTGTTGACAAAATGTCTTTTTTAGTGCAGCTGGCTAGTAAAGAGGGCAGTTAAGACACTGGTGCTGTCCAAAGTGGGACAGGCTTGACCTGGCTGGAGGAGTGCTTTGTTGTAGAGTGTGGATATCTCACATGGATATCATGCATTTTCTTTTGTTCTGAGTCTGCTTTTAGTAACTGTCTCAAATATTCTGATGACTGGAAAGAAATACTTCCCTGTAATACATTTGTTAATTGGAATTTGTATTATAAATGGGTCTCTGTTTTTTGGTCCCTTTCCCAGAATCTGATCGACTGGAGATAACGAGATAAAATTGAGCTGCTGAACCCTAGAGCTAGAATGCTCACCTGGAGTGTTGTCCCCAAATTGTCAGTGGACTGCCACTTGGCATCCTTGGAGGTCAGCAGTCTCCAGGAACACTGGTTTTTGGTGTTAAAGGCTGAATTTTTTTCCTACTGTTTAAACATCTTTGTATACTTCCTCATTATTTCTCTAATGTCATAGAACCCTATGATTATTATAATAGCCATGGTAATGAAAACAGACCTGTCTCTTGGGTAGAGAAGTTAATCTGACCCCGAACATCCTTGGAGGTGTCTATGAGAAATCCCCGTGGGTTATGTGCCGTGGCAGCAACATGCCGGTCATGTGACATCCCCACCGTCCGCTGAACCTGCCAAGACACATTAAGTAGGCAGCAGAACCCCTGCTACATCACAAGGAAGCCAGTTGAGTGGTAAGACTGACATCCCACAGTCATCAGCACAGTGGTCTCTGTCTGGGGTGGGACTGCCCAACCTGCTGCTGGGGTTTGGAACTGATTGGAGGATTCTGAGGTGTCACAGTGATGGTGTTAAGGGGAGGAGGCACAGCATAGCTGAACGTCTGCAATGTAAGAAACAGTACAGCAGGACAAAGAACTGCCCAGAATGCCAACAGCACCGGTGTGAAGAAGACATGTCTTGCTCGGACCACACAGTTGGTGTGGATCGGTTAAAATGTATGATTCTGGGCCGAGCGCAGTGGCTCATGCCTATCATCCCAGCACTTTGGGAGGCCGAGGCAGGCGGATCACAAGGTCAGGAGTTTGAGACCAGCCTGGCTAACATGGTGAAACCCTGTCTTTACTTAAAAAATACAAAAATTAGTCAGGCATGGTGGCGTGCGCCTGTAATCCCAGCTACTTTGAAGGCTGAGGCAAGAGAATTGCTTGAACCTGGGAGGCGGGAGTTGCGGTGAGTGGAGATCATGCCACTGCACTCCAGCCTGAGCAACAGAGCAAGACTCTGTCTTTAAAAAAAAAAACGTATGATTCTGGCTGTAGAATTTCCTTTTTTCTTTTTTCGAGACAGAGTCTTGCCCTGTCACCCAGGCTAGAGTGCAGTGGCGCCATCTCAGCTCACCGCAACCCCCATCTCCCGAGTGCAAGTGATTCTCCCGCCTCAGCCACCCAAGTAGCTAGGATTACAGGCACATGCCACCAAGCCCAGCTAATTTTTGTATTTTTAGTAGAGATGGGGTTTTACCATATTGGCCAGGGTGGTCTCGAACTCCTGACCTCAGGTGGTCCGCCTGCCTCAGCTTCCCAAAGTGCTGGGATGACAGGTGTGAGCCACCGCACCCGGCCTGGCTGTAGAGTTCTTGAATGAACTTGCTTGATGGTTGAGCTCCCTGATGATGTCCCAGATTTGGGCATTTGCTGCTTGGCAGTGCACACCTACAGCAAGCACTCCATGGACACTCATTCCCAAGCTAGATCTTGATTAGCCTAGGCCACAGTGAGCTTAGTAGTGGCTGCTGTTCTAATAGAAATTCAAAGGTAAGAAAAGTCTCTGATAAGTTTATTTAAAATAAATGTTGTTACAGTGGAATGGAGTAAGATCAACAAAGTCTATTACTGTGTAAACAAAAATTAGAAAGTTAACAGATTTCTAAGATAAAGAACAAACGAAATGAACAGCCTCTAACTTTCATATTGAGTTCACCATCCTGGGACAGCATGGTATAAGACCACAGTATGGATAAAAGTACTTGACCTTTGAACAGGTAACTTGAAAACACTTACTGTCCTAAAAAAAAAAATAGGATTAACTGGCTGAATACAGAAAACTTGAGCTAGTGAATCTCTGATTTGCCAGAATTGCTCCTAAAGGCAGCAGAGCCTTCACTCCCCCACCCCCATAAACTGAAGCAGCTTTCTTTGAAATCTCTGGATCAGTCTCCAAAGCACTATTATCCATTTTGTTTTAATATATTAAAAGTGTATTCTCTCTCCTCTCATCCCCAAATCCGAGTACATGTAATGATTACCTCTTCAGGGAGAGGCACCCCGTCTGCCCCATGGCTTTGAGCATGGCCCCTGATGTGAGAAGCCAAACCATATGTTTTAGCTCCTGTTGATGATGATTCACCCAGCTGGAGTTTCCCTCTAACTGCAGGTCCATTTCATTAACAGGTGGGGAATCACAGCATAATAAAGACAACCAGACCTTGTTTTGGCCTAAAACCTGACCCACTTTATGAGTAAAGGAGGAAAAAAAAAGCCCCCAGTATGGCCAGTCACCCACATACCTCGTAACTGAAATAGAAGTATCCAGTCTGGTGGGCAAATTGCCAAAAGCATTCCGTGCCTCCTGGAGGGATCATGATGGCAAAGTCATGTCGATCAGCTCCACGGAAGAGTGGCTGGTCCCCAGAGCCACTTAGAGGTTCTGTCTTCTGGCTCCTGGCAGACGTCACTAGATTCAGAACGACCAGCCCAGCCCCAAAGAGCAAGGGGGACATGCTGCTTTCTGGAGCCTCCTCTGCAGGTGAACTGCTCGCAGCCCAGGGGAATCAAGTTGTTCAGACAACCGCTGGGCTAATGATTAACTCCACAAGTCACATTTAGGCCCATTTCAGGGCCACACATAGATATTCATAATAGAACTGCCATGATACTCCTATGTTTGGCTCGCAGGAGGAAGTTTTGCTTTCACCTCAAAAACTCAGTGGCTTACCAAACCTACTTCATGGGTGCTACATAGGTCTACCACCTGAGAAGAGGTCTCTCCACCCTTCCTTAGGGCTGTCATTTTTTAGTTCCTGCTTCTTGGGGATATAATACTGGGTAAGTTTACAACTTTCTGAATACATGGACAATAAGTTGGCTGGGGAGGCTCTTCTCTTACATCAAATTGCTCCTATAAACACATGGGGCAACACTTCTCTCTGCCCAGCGCTGCAGCTCAGAGCAAATCACAGCATGTTGTGTGCAAAGATGTAAGTGGCTGAATACAGTGCCAGGATGGTGCTCAGACCCCTCCACTGACAGTGCTCATCCTGATGCCTTCCACCTAACAGTCACCTAAAGCTATCCAAACCCACTGAAAGACGATTCTATTCTCCAAAGCCGCAATCTTTCCTTTTTTTTTTTTTTTCTGAGACAGAGTGTAGCTTTGTCACTCAGGCTGGAGTGCAGTGGCACGATCTCTACTCGCTACAACCTCCACCTCCCAGGTTCAAGCAATTCTCCTGCCTCAGCCTCCGGAGTAGCTAGAATTACAGGTGCCTGCCACCATGCCTGGCTAATTTTTGAATTTTTAGTAGAGACGGGGTTTTACCATGTTGGCCAGGCTGGTCTCGAACTCCCAAGTAATCTGCCCGCCTCAGCCTCCCAGAGTGCTGGGATTACAGGCATGAGCCACCACGCCCGGCCTTGATCTTTCTTTTATTCAGGTCTTCTTCAGCACCCATGGGGGGAAAAAGCTATCCAGAACCCACTTAAAGACAATTGTATTATTCACATCCTTAATCTTTATTCTTTTATTCATGATTTCAACACCCACCTCCTTTATGGCAGGCGCTGAGCTAAGATTTACCTGCATCTTATTTTATTCTCACAATAGTCCTGCAAGGGAGGTATTGTGAGCTCTGGCATTAGAGATGAGGACACAGACATTCAGAGATTCCAGTGATGGCTCACCGTCCCACAAGCACACGTGGCAGAGCTGGGTCCCCGGTGGGGGCTCATGCTCTTAACCACCAAGCAGGACAGTGTTTCTCATTCTCAAGCTGTCAGTCTCTGAGTTCTGACATTGCCTAAACTGTTTTTAGTCATGATCTATATTTTTTGCTTCCTTGAGATGGCATCACTCTGTCTTCCAGGCTGGAGTGTAGTGGCACAGACACTGCAGCCTCACCCTCCTGAGCTCAAACGATCCTCCCACCTCAGCCTCCTGAGTAGCTGGACCCACAGGAGTACACCACCACACCTGGCTGATTTTTGTATTGTTTGTAGAGACGAGGTTTTGCCATGTTGCCTAGGTTGGTCTCAAACTCCTGGGCTCAAGTGATCCCCATGCCTTGGCCTCCCGAAGTGCTAGGATTACAGGTGTGAGCCACTGCGCCTAGCCTTGGTCATAATCTTGAAAAACAAAAAACAAAACAGCCTCAACACCTTCCAGCAATTATTTGCATTGACTCAAAGTGTCACAAGCTAATTAAGCAGAAAACAGACTCTATATGTGTGGTTCAGTTCTAGCAAAGGCCAGATGACATCCCAGCACTCTGGGAGCACAGTGGCTCTGTGGCAGTCTCGCCCAAGTGACAGGTAGAAGAGTCTGGGAACTTCTATCAGCACACGTGGCACAGGCACCCCCACCCAAGTCGCACCACCATCACAGTCCTAGCACAGGTCATGTCATAAGCAGTGACTTGGTTTCGGCGAAACAATCGTCAGTTCATAGTAAGTTTCATAGTTCTACAGAAGCTGTAAGCATAGTTTTATCTTTGTACACATTTCAGTAACTATAATAAAAACAACACTGAATTATGTGAAAAAATATTAACGAACATAGGCATTTGCAAGTTTAAGAAACACTGATACCGGGCACAGTGGCTCTCGCCTGTAATCCCAGCACTCTGGGAGGCCGAGGCAGGCAGATCACGAGGTCAGGAGATCGAGACCATCCTGGCTAACACGGTGAAACCCCGTCTCCATTAAAAATAGAAAAAATTAGCCAGGCTTGGTGGTGGGCGCCTGTAGTCCCAGCTACTTGGGAGGCTGAGCCAGGAGAATGGTGTGAACCTGGGAGGCAGAGCTTGCAGTGAGCCGAGATCGCACCACTGCAGTCCAGCCTGGGTGACAGAGTGAGACTCCATTTCAAAAAAAATAAAAAATAAAATGAAATAAAGAAACACTGATTAGGATCTTTTGTTTCCCTAAATGCATCAGTTTCACTCTTCTACCTGGAGAGCGCCATTGAATCACATGAGAGTTAAGGGGAGAAAAGCTTCTGGATTCTAATCCGGTTCAGAGGGAGACCAAACCAGCGGCAGGCAGAAGGCAGCTGGCCCAAAAGGAACTCAAGTTCTCAACTTCTCCCTGTGGTTTCAGTTGGGGTTGGTTGATAGAAGAACAATAGGTACTAAACCCCAAAATGCAGTTAATAGGTAATGAAGCTGTATGAAGATTCCCACTTATAACTAATGGATGAATTTTTTTTTTAATTTTTTTTGAGATGGAGTCTCACTCTATCGCCCAGGCTGGAGTGCAGTGGTGCAATTTTGGCTCACAGCAACCTCCACCTCCCGAGTTCAAGCGATTTTCCTGCCTCAGCCTCCCGGGTAGCTGGGACTACAGGTGCCTGCCACCATGCCCGGCTAATTTTGTATTTTTTACATTTTTAAATTTTAAATTTTTTTTTTTTTTTGAGGAGTTTCACTCTTTTTGCTCAGGCTGGAGTGCAATGGCATCATCTCGACTCATCACAACCTCCGCCTCCCAGGTTTAAGCAATTCTCCTGCCTCAGCCTCCCGAGAGGCTGGGATTACAGGCACCCGCCACCATGGCTGGCTAAGTTTTTGTATTTTTAGCAGAGATAGGGTTTCACCATGTTGGCCAGGCTGGTCTTGAATTCCTGACCTCAGGTGATCCTACCCTTCTTGGCCTCCCCAAATGCTGGGATTACAGGGGTGAGCCACGGCTCCCAGCCAGTTTTGTTTTGTTTTGAGATACAGTCTCACTTTGTTGCCCAGGCTGGAGTGCAGTGGCAAGATCTTGGCTCATTGCAAACTCCATCTCCTGAATTCAAGCGATTCTCCTGCCTCAGCCTCCTGAATAGCTGGGATTACAGGAGCCCACCACCACACCCAGCTAATTTTTGTATTTTTAGTACAGATAGGGTTTCACTGTGTTGGCCAGGCTGGTCTCGAACTTCTGACCTCAAGTGATCCTCCTGCCTCCACCTCCCAGAGTGCTGGGATTACAGGCATTAGCCACCATGCCTGGCCTAATGGATGAATTTTAAAACTTTAGCATTTCTTTTTAAACTTTGCCTTTCACTCACTCAGAAGTGAGAAAGGGGGAATTCTTTTGTCCCCAGAAATGATATATGAGGAAACTGACAGGTTAAGAGGAAACTTCCACATCATCTGTTTGATATAGCTTCCAAGGATTAAAACATTCAACACAGTCTGACATCAGCTTCTTGATCAAAATAGTTCAGCAAAGTTTGTTCAACATTTTGCTACCTCCCTCTGTGAATACATGCTGTGCTGCAATTAAACAGCTACTTACAGTTGAGAGAAGCAAGACTTTAATGAAGAATGCTACAAGTATGGACAATAATTAGTTCTCATCTTTTAAAAAAAGATTACAGAAAACACTTTACTGAAATTTTTTGCTAAAAAGACAGTCTTTAAGGGTGTCCAGGAGAGACAGCAAGCACAACACAGTACAAAAGGAGAAGGGAATGTTGAATTCCAGTGCAAGACACGAACACAGCACAATTAGGGAATCAGAAGGAAGCAACCATTTCACAAAGAATGAAATTAGGCATTTATATTCAATCAGGATTTTTTTTTAAGCTTTAAAAGTCCAGCATAAGGAAGGGAATTGGGAAAAGAGGCAGGGGACAGGGGGCAGGGGGTGGGGGAACTAAGCTTATCTACAATCACCATTTTACCAAAAAACACACTGGTTCAACCACATAAGAAGTGGAGGATAAACCTGCCTACATAGCCCAGCAGACGTTGAGAGCAAATGCCAAGGCAGACAGGTCTAGGGTTGATGTCACAACTGGCTAAAGAGTTTTTAAAGGGAATCTTATTCCACAAGGACTGGTCTCTCATCAACCTGGGTTCATAACAGACTAAGTTCCTTTGCATTTGCCATCAGAAGGCCAGAACTTGACGTGGAAAAAATTTACTCCAAATAATACTCACATTGCTGGTTTTAACAGGTCATGGAGTCACAAGTGGCTCCTAATAGACTTCACCATTTCCTAGGAGAAGGTTCTACAGATTACCAGGGATTTAAATTTAAGCAAACCACTAAAGAAGGGAAACACTAATGATATTCTGGCACTGCACAAGCTCTGTGCCTGTCATCTCTGCCAAGGACATGGGTGGACTTGGCTCTGCTTCTTAGCTCCATGATCTCCAACAGTGATGAAGTGGAACTGGGACCTCCCCCACATCGAAGGAGGTTGCCCAAAATTCTCATCCCAGCCCAGCTTCTGAAAGAAACAGCAGACTATCAGGGGCTATTATTAGGAACCATGCTCCTGTGAATTCTGTGGAAATGAAAGCCTGTTTCAGTTCATGCCAAGTCTTTTCATGGTCCGCCAGCGATCCTTAATCATCACAGCTGTTCGGTTAACAAATGGGTAATTTTTAGAAATGGCAGCCCAGTTTCCTTCCCCATATTTCTGCACTCCAGCCTTGACCCACTCGCTTTCTTCTACAGTCCACTTCTGCAAAAGAAAATCAAAAGATTTATCACCACCTTTCCTCTCCACTTACTTACATTTTCTCCAGTGTAGTGATAAGGTAAACTCAAGAATCCCAGGAGAATCATCTGAACCTGAAAGCACAGCTTATGTTTTTAAAACATGGAATGGACAGGATACGAGCACTGTGGATCTGGACATTGAGGAATTCTCGATGTCCTGCCATTTGATCCTCAAGTAACAATCATTTCTGCATTCCAAACTGCAAACATATCTACATCATTCATGATCCGGAAAATGTGTCCTCTGTCCTCCTAGGCTTTTCTTCCAGAAGATGACTATTACTTTAACTTAGTTTGGATTATCTGAAAAATCTCAAAAAAAGGTTTTTACTGGGTACATAAGCAGTCTATGCCTATGAGACATGGGGCTTATTTTACCTCTGCTCTACCCACATAACCAGTATCAGAAAAGAGAATTTTAAATTACCTGCTTTTTTGTTATATTGGTTGTACTGTCTTCATCTGGTGCTGCTGGAAAACATTAAAAGTAGACTCATTTCAGAGTTCACCTTTCTCTGCACAAACCACAAGAAAAAGACACAGAATGTCCCCAAAGGGAAAACTTTCAAATTTCACAAGCATTGAGAAGAGAAAGGATATCACTAAAGGATAATTTACTTTTCTCCTTTGTTTGCAAACACCAGTCACTTCAGCCCATGAGAACCTGTACAATGCAAGTGCTTTACAAACAGGCATCCATAAATGCTGGCTAGTGATGGGTTTCA